TTAAATCCCACTATTCGGTCAAACATGAGTTGGCGGCGGGCATTTTTAAATGGCTGTCTTCCTTCTAGTCTTCGAGTTAAAAATTAGGAATGGCTATGCACGGGTAGCCCTCTTGTAGATTTTTGTGTGAATATGTGTTACCACCAGCTTTCAACGTCTCCAGGTGGTGTTTGGTGGTCTTATATTATATAATTTAATACATTGTATGTGTCTTATAGAGTTTAGTTTTAACTGGTGGCCGTATGATAGCGTTGTTTTGCTCTTGTAGGCGTGACAGGTGGTTAGGGCACGAGACTACGAATCTGCTAGACGCTGAATCGAAACCCGTCGCCGAACATGCCCTTTCAGCCGTGGGGACGTTATATTGTGATAGTAAATCCCACTATTAATTCGTAAAGCTTAGCCCAAGACTTGGCGGTGGGGGGTGTTGGTTAACTGCTTTCCTCTCTAGTCTGTCACTTCACAATTAGGGTCAGATAGCCCCCGAAATTCAACAGAACAAAATTGATGATAAAAAGAAAGTATTATACTTTTTTCAGTTTCGTTTGTGGCGCTTGGGAAATTGTGTTTTTAGAAGTACTACTGGACAAAAACTACTTGTATACATTATTGTTGGACCCAAATACTGGCTGTTCACTTCCTGTCAGCTGGTAGGATCTCTGTTTTCATCACGAAACGCTAATCAAGTAGTCTTACGCTGCGGTGTAATATTTTTTATTACGTGTACGAACATTAAAAATTACAGGTACGTCAGATAGCCAGTAATATTCTGTTATTTGCACTGGTATCATTGTGTATTTCCAGATTATTCTACGGTTTTACGTATGCCATCTTTGCTGTTACAAAACAACAACAAAACTAAAATATAGCTATAATAACAGAGTCTGTAAGGTACTATTTGGTGGAACAGCTACATGACCCTAGTGGGTCAGCGGTAAGTCTGAAGCCTTAACGCGCCGAAAACAGGGTTTCTGTATTCATGTTCTAATGTGTAGCTTTGTGCTTAACAAAACAAACAAGTCTCGTATTACGATATCGAAATTCCAGTACGTTATGAATGGCAGTAAAGAATAATTTATAACAGTACATCAGCCACACTATTATTTATGAACTGGTTGTTTTTACTTTCAAAATTTTATCCAGTGTAACAGAAAACTTGATGTATTCGTTAGCAGTATGCAAAGAAGTTTTAATTTTATCGCATTTCTTGTCTGTATGCGTATTGATCGTCTGATTGTTACATTCCATATGCATAAACACGTTTTAAATATCATCAATTATGTAGCTGTAAGATTTAATAGTTTTACATTGGATTGACAAATTGGTTTGTGTAACGTAAATTTAAGGTATGCTTTTAGTCTTAGCATTTAACACCCATCCCTTATTCCCTTTTTGTTGCTCGGGGGGGGGGGGGTTGTAATAAAATGGTCAAAATATATTCAAATAATATTAGAGCTAGACCATTACGGTATGGTTAGTACAGTTCTAAAACCGTGAAACTAGGGTTAAGAATAAGAGTTGATTTTATAAGCCTAATCGTACCAAAACAGTAATATAATATTTGTTATAATACAGGGTATTAGGCCTAATTAGGCATGCTACAAATCAAAACGGAAATGTGAAAAAACCCTGTTACTTTGTGGTTAACCACTGTTAATTCGAACATTTTTCGTTGCATTTGTACATTTTCCATAATTGTTGAGTCTTAGTCTTTTTTTTTGGGGGTGGTGGGGGTGCTATTTTGATTTATACGCAAAGCTCAAACAAACATCCTTTTAACCACGTTTCGTTTTTCTTGTAATATAATTTTTTTTAGGCTTACAGACCCGCTGTGAAACATGTCCGCGATTACTAACTTAATTTCCAAAATGTTAGCGATACAAAAAGTGCTCGAATGCTTGCTTAGTGATCTAGCTCCTTTGTCTGACTGTATTTAGATTGTGAAAGTTAAATAATATAGTTCCTGATGTAGGAAAATTAAAGAATAAATACACAATGGTCACTTTTTTTTCTTCTAATTCTGTTAACGTTTACCGATTCTATAAATTTTATCTTTAATGGTAAAACAGTTGAAAATGCTATTCTTTGTTTAAGCCTTGGTTTTGTAGGATAAAAACATATGAGAAGACATACACGCACAAAGCTAGCTTACAACAATAACACCGAGGTTTCGATGCCAGTGGGCCGGGCATGGCCAGGTGGGTAGGGTGCTCGACTCGCAATCTGTG